TGACTTGTGCCTTGTAGATGGTGGACAGGCTTTGGGGAGTCAGGAAGTGAGTCACTTGCTGCAAGATTCCTAGCCTCTCACCTTATCTTGTGGCCATTGTATTTATATGGCTAGTCCAGTACAGTTTCTGGTCAATGATAACCCCTAGGATGTTGATAGCGCAAGATTCATTTATAGTAATGCCAATGAATGTCAAGCGGCAATGGTTATATTGCAACTTATTGGAGGTGACCATTATCTGGCATATCCACTTGTCAGCTCAAGCCTGGACATTATCCAAGTCTTGCTGCAATTGGACAAGGACTACTTCAGCGTCCGAGGAATCAAGAATGGTGCTGAACATTTTACGATTATCGGTGAGCTTCCCTCCATCTGACCTTATGATGGAGAGAAGGACCTTATGATGAGGAGCAAGTGAGGAGATCAGGAGACATTTCTTCACCCAGAAATTAGTGAGCCTCTGGAAATCTCTGATGCAGAAAGCGATTGAGTCCAAAACATTGAATGTTTTCAAAAGGAAGTTATCTGTAATTCTTGGGATAAATGGATCAAAGGATATGGGGATAAAGTGAGAACAGGTACTGAGTGGGATAATCAACCATAAGACGAGTTAATATAGGAGAAGAAGTAGGCTATTTGGCCCAATCAGTGTGCTCCACCATTTGATCATGGCAGATATGTTTCTCAATCCCATTCTCTAGCCTTCTCCCTGTAACCCTTGATCCACTTATTAATCAAGAACCTAGATATCTCTGTCTTAAATACTCTCAATGACTTGGTCTCCACAGCCCTCTGAGGCAGATTCACTGCCCTCTGACTGAAGAAATTCCTCCTCATCTCAGTTTTAAAAGTTGTCCCTTCACTTTGAGGCTGTGCCCTCAGGTCCTAGTCTCTCCTATTAGAGGAAACATCTTCCCCAGGTCCTTGCTTTCTAGGCCTGTCAATACTCTGTGAGTTTTAGAAAGATTCCCCTCATCCTTCTAAACACTATTGAGTACAGAACCAGAGTCTTCAACTGCTCCTTATCTGATAAGACCTTCATTCCCGGGATCAATCTTATGAGCTTCGTATAGAGCTCCTCCAAAGACAGCACATCCTTCCTTAGATAAAGTTCCCTAACCTGCTCACAAAATTCCAAATGCGGTCTGACCAGAGCCTTCTACAGGCTCAACAGTATACCTCTATATTCTAGTGCTCTTGAAATGAATGCAAATATTGCATTTGCCTTCCTAAATGCTAAATGAACCTGCATGTTAGCCTTAAGAAAATCTGGAACTAGGACTTCCAAGTCCCTTTGTGCTTCAGATTTCTGAAGGCATTTTCCATTTAGAAAATTGTTTATGCCTCTATTGTTCCTACCAAAGTGCATAACCTTGCACTTTCCCACACTGTATTCCATTAGCACTTCTTTTGCCCATTCTGTTAGCCTGTCTAAGTTCTTCTGTAGCCTCCCACCTCCTCAACATTACCAGTCTCTCCAACTACCTTTGTGTCATCTGCAAACTTAACAGCATTGCCTTCAGTTCCTTCACCCAGATTGGTAATGTATAATGTGAATAGTTGAGGTCCCAATACTGAACCCTGTTGAACTCCACTACAGTCACTGACTGCCATTGTGAGAATGATTTCTTTGCTCCACTCTCTGCCTTCCACCAGTCAGCCAATCCTCATAAGACTGCTCCTATTCCCCAGTTCCTCAGCATCTATCAGATCACTTCATTGCCTGCTCCAATTGTGTACAGCATTGTATGCCAGGATGATGTGGTACACTCACCCATCAAACAGACACTGACTCTATTTATCTTGTACATTGTCCCAGCCATTTCCCAATTGCATTTTACATTTCGAGAATGTAAAGCGATGGCAGGTAGCATAGCTCATGGTAAATGTCATTAGTACTGGTCCCAACCTTGTCAACAAGTATCCCTACACAGCCTTGTTGTTGGTTGGCTCGCCGAGCCAGTTCGTTGTTTTTCTGCAGATGTTTCATTAACTTGCTGGGTAACATCATCAGTGCAGCCTCCGATGAAGTGCTGTTGTGTTTTCCCGCCTGGTATTTAAACTCTGGAGTCCGTTGAGCTGGATGACCTCACTCCTGGTTTTCCTTCGCAGTGGAGTATATATGGGGGTCGAGCTCTATGTGTTTGTTGATAGCTTTCTTTGTGGAGTACCAGGCTTCTAGGAATTCCCGTGCTTGTCTCTGCTTTGCTTGTCCCAGGATCTTGGAGTTGTCCCAGTCGAATTGGTGGTTCTCCTTATCCATGTGGATAGGGATGAGTTAGTATCAGTCGTGTCTTTTTGCGGCCAATTGATGTTCGTGTACCCTTGTTGTTAATTTCCTTCCTGTTTGTCTGATGTAGTGTTTGTCACAGTTTCTGCAGGGAATCTTGTATATGACGTCGATCCTGTCCATAGTGGGTAGTGGGTCTTTGGTTCGGGTGAGCAGTTGTCGTAGGGTTAGTGTGGGTTTGTGTGTTACTCTGATGCCCAGTGGTCGTAGGAGTACTACACGCCCCAACACACTCATCACGCTACCTTACATCAAGAACACATCTGACCTGACCACAAGACTTCTACAACCGCTGCCAGGGTGCTAGTGGTGTGCTGGGAGCTTAGTTTAATAGTTACACAGGAGTAAGAGTCACTTTTAATATTCTAATTTTGCCTGGTAACTATTAAGCTTAAGTGAATTGGAGCCCTCCAAATTCTCCGGCTTTAGGATGCGTTACAGATTTCATTGGGAAATTAAATTTCCCAGGCAATTCCCATGGAGTCTGCTGCTCTGGGGATTCCACATATATACTGCAAAAATAACTATTTAGCAATTGGAATAGCTGGGCACTCACCTCACATTTTCTGTAAAATGCAATAATTGTTGATCTTATTGCTCTTGGTGCCTGGTCTAAACCATTGCTATACACCAGATACATTGACGACATTTTCTTCCTTTAGACTCATGGCGAGGAATCACTGAAACAACTACATAGTGATATCAACAAGTTTCATCCCACCATCAGACTTACCATGGACTACTCTTTAGAATCAGTCTCATTCTTGGACACACGCATCTCCATCAGGGAAGGACACCTCTGTACTTCACTCTACTGCAAACCCACAGATAACCTCACGACACTGCACTTCTCTAGCTTCCACCCTAAACATATTAAAACAGCCATCCCCTACAGACAAGCCCTAGGCATTCACAGAATCTGTTTGGATGAGGAGGAACGAGACAGATACCTGAAGGTGTTGAAGGATGCCCTCATAGGAACAGGATACGATGCTCAACTCATTAATCATCAGTTGCAAAGTGCCACAGCAAAAAATCGTAATGACCTCCTCAGAAAACAGACACGGGATATGTCTGATAGGGTGCCCTTTGTCGTCCAGTATTTGCTGGGAGCGGAGAAACTACGCCATGTTCTTTGCAGCCTTCAACACATTATCAATGATGATGAGCACCTCACCAAGACCTTCCCCGTGCCTCCACTTCTCGCCTTCAAATAACTGCCAAACCTTAAACAGACTCTTGTTCACAGCAAACTACCCAGCCTTCAGGACAACATCGACCACAACACTATACAACCCTGTCATGGCAACCTCTGCAAGACATGTCAGCTCATCGACATGGAAACTACCATCACACGTGGGAACACCATCCACCACATACACAGCAGATACTCATGTGACTCAGCCAACGTTGTCTATCTCATACACTGCAGGCAAGGATACCCCGAGGCATGGTATATTGGTGAGACCATGCAGACGCTACACCAATGGATGAATGGACACCACGCAAGAATCGCCAGACAGGGATGTTCCCTCCCAGTGGGGAGCACTCCAGCAGTCAAGGACATTCTACCTCAAATCTTCGGATAAACGTCCTCCAAGGCAGACTTCAGGATACGCAACAATGCAGAGTCGCTGAGGAGAGGCTGATAGCCAAGTTTGGTACCATGAGGATGGCCTCAACCAGGATCTTAGGTTCATGTTGCACTACAGGTGACCCCACTATACTCTCTCTCTCTCCTCTGAAGCTGCTTGGCCTGCTGTGTTCATCCAGCTCTACACCCTGTTATCTCAGATTCTCCTTGTTATCTGTGTGAGAGAGAGAGTGTGTGTCTGAGGGAGACTGTGTGTGTTTGAGAGACAGTGTGTGTATGAGAGAGGATCTGTGTGAGAGTGCGTGTGTGATAGTGTGTTTGTGTAAGTGAGTGTGTGTGTGTGTGTGTGTGCTCCTCTGATGCTGCTTGGCCTGCTGTGTTCATCCAGCTCTACACCCTGTTATCTCAGATTCTCCAGCATCTGCGTAAACACACACACACTGTCTCCCCCCCCACTCTCACACTCACACACACACACACACACACACACACACACAGTGGCGTATTATAAATTCCTACTTAGAAATAAAACCAGTCTGACTCCAAATCAAAACACAATCAGATTCTAAACAAGGCCTCACACCTAACATTCAATGTCTGACCCAAAATGTCATCTCTTCTTTATACTGATAAAACTTTTGGTTTTCTCAGGGTAGTGACTTGAAAGAAATTTGGGGATTTACATATACATATTAATTAATTAAAACCTTTTAAATGATTAAAGATGTAACACCATCTTAGGTTTGTTTAGTACATCCTCATCACTGGTATAACCCTTTGATCTTTTACTTATAAATTCTGTGTCTGATACTACCTCTGTCACTAACACTTGAGGAAGATGTAAGACTCTGAAAGCTTGTGTTTTCAAACAAACCAGTTAGACTATACCTGGTGTTGTGTAACTTCTGACTTTGTCTACCCCTGTCCAACACTGGCACCTCCACATCATGTAAATCAGTGAAGTGAACATTCATGTCAGAAGTGATGGAGAAGTCCCTTGTCTTTTCAACCGCTATTAAAGCATAGACTGTTTTTGCAAAGGCCAAAGGCAAAGGATGAATAGAATATGATAAAAATGCACTCTTTAAAAAAGCTTAGCTTACAAATGTAACCTACTCTGTAGACCATTGGATTATATCAGCAGGCTGAGCTCTAATGCAGTCTTTAGTATATTGTTTCAGGATGTCAGGAAGTTGTGCTACAGATCCAAATTTATGCGAAGAAGGCATCCTTGCCGGTCCTATGGAAACATTAAATTGAAAATTATCTATGTGAACAAACTATTGACAACAAGAGAAATATTCTTCCCACTTACATAGCTGTATTTAAAAGTAAACATGCATTCACAAATGGGTAGATCAGTCCCTCAGGTAAAAAAACTTCATCAATAAACAGCAATTCCAGCACTTAATCAGTACTTTTCTTTCTAGAGATAATTTTGAAGGTCAATTTTTGTTCTTAGTTGATACTACTGGTGATATTTTCCAAGATGGCCACTCTTACAGCCTTATGATATTTGCCACTTCTGCCAATATGTGGTAGTGGTAAGGATTATTTGAGGTAGTTCACCTCCATCAATCTTCCTCTGTCTTTGCAATGTTTTGGACCCATCTGTTGATTGATGGTGGAGGATAGACCAACTTGGAGCATCTACAGAAAGGTGCTGAGAGACAGTAGGAACTGCAGATGCTGGAGAATCTGCGATAACAAGGTGTACAGCTGAATGAATACAGCAGGCCAAGCAGCATCAGAGGAGCAGGAAGGCTGACTTTTGGCCCGAAACGTCAGC